AGCAGCAGCAGCAGCAGCAGCAGCAGGGGGAGCAGCAGCAGCAGCAGCACGTGGAGCAGCAGCAGCAGCACGTGCAGCAGCAGCAGCAGCACGTGCAGCAGCAGCAGCAGCAGGTGCAGCAGCACTAGACGGCCTGGCGGAAGACAGGCAAAGGAGACAGAAAGCGCTAATGAGAGGCAAAGAAAAAAAAAACAAAAAATGAAACAGAAAAAGAAAAATGAAAAGGGAAAAGAGAAAGTGAAAAAGAAAAAGAAAAATGTAAAAAACAAAATCCTGCTTTTTCCTTGCCTTGAATGGCTCAGGGCTGAAGACTCCGCGGGAAGGAACCAGCTGCTGCACCTCAGGCGAAAAGAAGAGCTGCACAGCTTGCTGCTGCTGCTGCTGCTGCTGCTGCTGGGGGTGGGGTATCGCCAGGGGCGAGAGCAGCAGCCAGCAGCTGCAGAGGGGAGCCGCAGGAAAGGCAAATTTGCCTGTCTTTCTGTCGATAGCAGCAGCACAAAGAGAAGGTTTGCTGCTGCTCTCCACGAGGCCCTTTGCTGCTCCAGGAAGCGCAGCAGCAAGAGCAGCGGGAGCCAGCAACTTTGCTGCTGCTGCTGCCTCAAGTGGGAGGGCCCCACAGTTCGCAGCAAACACAGCTGGGCAGTCAGGCGGCAGCAGCAGAACTGCTGCTGCTGTAGCCTCCAGCCCAGCGGGTCCTGAAGAAAAGCACAGCAGCAGCAGCAGCGGCAGCAGCAGCAGCAGCGTTCTTCTCGCGCAGTCCACCCAGCCTAGCAGCAGCGCCGCTAACAGCAGCAGCAGCACGAGAGTCTTCAGCTCATGTTCCAGCCACACCAGAAGCAGCACCGCTAGCTCTAGCAGTAGCCGCACGAGAAACAGCAGCAGCAGCAGCAGCAGCAGCACAAGCAGCAGCAGCAGTACTCTTACCCTCGCCCTCAATCCGCGCAGCAACAGCCTTAAAGCTGACTCTACTAGGAGACACGCGTCCTGCTGCATCCACTTCAACTAATATTTGCTGCGGAGACAAAACCCAAGAGGGGCCCCCAGAGGGGCCCCCAAGGCGGCCCCCAGGGGGGGCCCCAGAGGGGCCCCCGGGGGGCCCCCCGGGGGGCTCTGGGGTCCCCACAGAGAGGACGAAACGGCCCTGGGTGGGCATAGCCAGGCGAAACGAGCCATCTCGTTTAGTTGTAACTGCTGCTGCGGCTGCTGCTGCTGTTGCTGGTGCTGCTGTTGCTGTAGCTGCGGGTTGCAGCAGCAGCGGGACACCCTCAACCCCTTGGCCAGTGCCGAAAGAGACAACCTCGCCAGATATGCCAAACCCTGGAACACAACCAACCCCAAACCCTAAACCCTAAACCCTAAACCCTAAATTTCGGGGCTACCTAATTTGTAGCTGCCACGCAGTCGCTGCAGTCCTTCGAAGAGCCAGAGAGCCACCGACCCCAGCAGCAACAGCTACAGCAGCAGCAACAGCTACAGCAGCAGCAGCCACAGCAGCAGCAGCAGCCACAGCAGCAGCGCGGGGTGCCCACCCTTGATGACGAAGTTGTTTTCTTGAGTGCATTTTCCAGTTTGAATTATTTTCGTTTCTTCTTCAAACACAAACTCGGGGGGCCCCACAACCTGCAGCAGCAGGGGGGCCCCCAGGGCCTCCGGCGGCAGCGGAATGATGTACAGGCCCGACGGCGAGCACGGCTGCAAGCAGCAGCAGCAGCAGCAGCAGCAGCAGCACATATGGGTGCTGTTGCGGCTGGGGCCCGAGCAGCGCAGGAAGCAGCAGCAGCCGCTGCTGCTGCTGCTTCTTGAGCAACGGAGGATGCAGCAGCAGTTGCAGGGGAAGAAACACGAAGGCAGCAGATGCAGCAGCAGCAGCAGCAACAGAGGCAGCAGTAGTGGCAGCAGCAGCAGCAGCAGCCTACCTGCGAATCTAAAAGAGCTCCATTCTTTGTCAAAAGTCTAACAGAAACAGCTGAGAGATCTAAAGCTTCTTCTGCTTCTTTCTTTTTGCTGCTGCTGAGCAGCACGCGGCCTTCGCAGACGTGGACCTCATCGTCCTGCTGCTGCTGCTGCTGTGCTGCTGCTGCTGTAGCGGCGGGAGGCCCGGACGCTTGCAGCAGCAGAAGGAGAGCAATGCCTGCTGCTCCAAAGAGGCACAACCTTCCCATGGTGCCTCCTTGCTGCAAACCCTAAACCCTAAACCCTAAACCCTTGGCCCCAAACCCTAGATAGGGCCCCTCCTGCCTTGAAATGGCTGTTTAATCAGAGCGCCGCTGAGAAAGCTTCAGACCGTTTCGTTTTGCTGCTGCTCTTCTCTCTGCTGCTGCAGCAGCTGCTGCTGCAGCAGCTGCTGCTGCGGCCTGCGGTATCAGCTGAAATAGTCTACAGCCCCGAAGGGCACAGGTCCGCTGCTGCCGCTGCTGCTGCTGCTGCTCCCACTTCAGTTCCTGCTTGTGTGCGCCTCGCAGGGTGTACGTACAGCTGAGATCTCGTGCTGCAGCTGCCGCCTGCTGAGGCGTTGCTACGGTTTCTGGGTCTCGTTCCGCTGCTGCTGCTGCTGCTGCTGCTGCGCCTTTCTGCTCGCCGAAAGTCTGCAAATAATAAATATGAAGCTGCAGTTGAATTTTAAAAGAAGAAAAGAAAGAAAAGTTAGCGCCTCGCCGCCACGAGCAGCAGCTTCTTGGATGGCCCCGATGCCGTGGGGGGCTGGGGGGGCCTGCAGTGCATGACTGAGCCGTAAAGGATTTATATTTTTTGAAATAACAAATTAAAAACAATTAAAAGGCAACTTTAAATAGTTAATTATCTCTATTTCCGCTTTTCTAGCTTCCGCTTCAGCCGCACCTCAGCGGCGCCGGGCCTCCAGATCTGTCGGGAGCTCTGTGGGCCCCGCCAGGGCACCGCAGCGGCAGTTCGAGTCATTTTCTCGTTTGTTTTTTGATTTTAGGAACTTCTTTGTTCCAAATTAAACATTTTAATCATTTAAATGCAATTTTAATCCTTTTTCCCGGAGGCGAGCGGCGGGGGAGCTGCCTCGAGTCCATGAGCTGCTCGTTTTGCTGCTGCTGCTGCCTTTCCGGCCTTCCCCAGTCTTCTGCAGTGTCTCGTGCTCAACCGCCGGTTAAAAGCCTCTTATTTTGATTTAAATTGAAAACATTAATTGCATTTAACTATTTAATTGCCAATTGGGGCCTCTGGCACTCAAAACCCCCCAAAACGAGCGCCCCAGGTCCAGCAAACACCAGGCCGAATGGCCCACCAGCTAGCCACCAAAAGCCTTCCCCGGGCAAACAGCTACACACGGTACTGCTCGAGGGGGCCCCAGCTAGCCACAGCTAGCCACAGCTAGCCGCAGCTAGCCATGGCTAGCCACAGCTAGCCGTAGCTAAACCTGGCTAGCCGCAGCTAGCCTTTGCTAGCCACAGCTAGCCGCAGCTAGCCAGCACTAGCTATAGCTAGCGACAGCTAGCCACAGCGTGCCACAGCTAGGCACAACTACCTAGGAGGGCTCACCCCACATTCCTACGTTTGGATGTGTTGGAGCTGCAGAAAGCCAGGGACAAATCCACCTCAAACCCTAAAGCCTAAACCCTAAACCCTCGAAAGAGGTTTCGCAAGAGTTCGCAGTGGAAAAAAACTTCTTCAAGAAGCCCGGCGGCTTCAAAACCTCTGCCTAAGAGCCCCACAGTCCCAGCCCTAAACCCTAAACCCTAGGGTTTATGGGTGAAGGCCCACGTGGGCTGAACCCCTAAACCCTAGAATTTAGCCCACGTGGGCCTCCATTCATATTTGCTGCCTTTTAATTCAGCCCACGTGGGGGTCCCATTGGGGGGCCCCACAGGGGCCCCCATTGGGGGGCCCCATTGGGGGGCCCCACAGGGGGCCCCATAGGAGAGCCCACAGGTGTCCCCCCAGGGGGCCCCCCAGGGGGACCCGAGGGGGCTCCATAGGGGGGCCCTACAGGGCACATTGAGAGGCTCTATAAAAGGGGGCCCCCGTGGGGCCCCACAGGGGGCCCCCCTATGGGGGCCCTCAAGGGGGGCCCCCCTTAGAGGGGCCCCCAGAATAGGGCACTGGAATACGCGTCAGGGGCCTCGAGAAGAGTGCGTCTTGTGGCGATGGCGCAAAACAACACAGAGAGCTTAGGGTTTAGGGTTTAGGGTTTAGGGTTTAGTTTGCATGTGAGGCACCAAAGAATGCAAGCCTGGGTTTCCCTCCTGTAATGGGCCCCCAAAGGGGCCCCACAGGGAGGCACCCGGAGGGGCCTCATGGGGGCCCCCGGGGTGCAAACATGAAGAGGGGGCCCAAAGGGGCCCCTGCTGCTGCTGCCGCTGCTGCTGGTGTTGCTGCTGCTGCTGCCATATTGGAGTGAATTGAAATGAAAAATAATTCAAAAGAGAAGAGAAGGCTCTGCGCCTCTGCTGGCGTGAGGGGCCGTCAGTTTGTCAATGCGAGAAAGGTGCACCTACGGCAAACAAGCCGCAGCAGCAGCTGCTGCTGTTGCTGCTGCTGCTGCTGCGGGTGTTGCTCTGGCTGTGGTTGCTGCCGCTGCAGCTGGCATCCGCTGCTTTGAGAGATGGGAGTGACCCGAGCTGCGCGCGGTAGGAGCTAGGGTTTAGGTTTTAGGTCTCAAGGTCGAGGGCTTAGGGTTTAGGGTTTAGGGTTTAGGGTTTACTTGGAAGGCTGGGGAGCTCCAATGGCCGCAGGAGCACTTAAGTCCCACCCAACTCCAACTGCCAAGTTTGCAGCCGCACTGAACACCTCCCGCAGCAAATCACAAACCTTAATAAGGCCCCCAAAACCCTAATTAAACCCTAACTAAACCCTAACTAAACCCTAATTAAACCCAAATTAAACCTTAATCAAACCCTAGTCAAACTTCAAGCACGCCCTAACTAAACCCTAACTGGTCCCGAAGCCCTTACAGCCTCCGCAGCAGCAGCAGCAGCAGAGCACCAGCAGCGACTGCAGCAGCAGCAGCAGCAGCAGAGCACCAGCAGCGACTGCAGCAGCAGCAGCAGCAGCAGAGCACCAACAGCGACTAAAGCAGCAACAGCAGCAACGGCAGCAGCAGCAGATCCCCAGCAGCAGCAGCAGCAGCAGCAGCAGCACGCACTGCTGGATTGGGGCAGCTGAGCCTTCCCTGCTGCTCCTCTAAACCCCCCATCCACCCCAGGGGCTCCACAAAGGCACTGGTGCATTTGGCCCTGGGGGCCCCCCGGGGGGCCCCCTTGGGGGGCCCCTTGGGCTCGTGAGGGTACAGCTGCGACTCGTAGAACAGCTTGTGCCGGCAGCACCTGCAGCAGCAGCAGCAGCAGCAGCAAAGAAGCTGAAGGGGGCTGCTGAATGTGTATGCAGGTTAGGAGGAGAGCTTGGGAGAGCTGAACAGCGCAGTATTTGGCAGAGCTAGACCCGAGGCCCCAAACCCTAAACCCTAAACCCTAAACCCTAAACCCTCGCGCTAAACCCGTAGGCAATGACCCGTCAAGACGCGCACCTGCAGCAGTATACAGCGCCTTGGGAGTCAGAAGTTCCTCGAGAGATTGAGGACGAAGCAGCTAGCTGCTGAGACTGTTGCTGCTCCTGTTGCTGCTGCAGCTGCTGCTCCTGCTGTCGCTCCTCTTCCTGCGTCTGCAGCTCCGTGTGCCGTTCCTGCTGTGGCCTGTCTTGCTGCTCCTGCTGCTGCAGCTGTTGCTGCTGCTGCTGCTGCTGTGCCTGTAGCTGCTCCGACACCTGCGCTACTTGCTGCGAGTTTTGCTGCCCCTGCAGCTCGAAATTGCCCACCGCTGGCATCTTGTTGCTGCTGCTGCTGCAGCTGCTGCTGCCGCAGCAGCTGCTGCCCTGCCAATGAATTCTGCTTGTAAGCTTTGATGCTACATCAGTTGCTGCTGCGTTTAGCCCTGGAGGCGCATACACCCCAGGTACGCCTCCGCTGTTAATGACTCACCACTGCAGCAGCAGTAGCAGCAGTAGCAGCAGGAGCAGCAGCAGCAGCTAGGCTTACAGACAGGAACGCTAAAAGCCAAAACAAAAACAAAATAACTAGGTTTTTGTTAATGGGTTAAGCCCAAGAAGTCAACTGGGGCGATCGGACGGCAGGAACCGTAAACTCTAAACCCTAAACCCTAAACCCTAGTTCTACCTGGGGCCCCACATCCCCTCAGTCCGGCCCGCTCTCCCTGCTCCCGCATTTGTTTCCACTGTTTGTGATGCACAATTAATAATATATTTTGAAAGAGAGAAAAGTAAAACCCTCAAGACTTTGCTACTGCTGCCCCGGGGCCCCACAGCCAAACCCTAAACCCTAGCGGGGGCCCCCAGCATCGACGAGAGGGGCCCCACCCCTGCGCTGTCACTACACCGAACGGCAGCAGCTGCCTGTTACTGCTGCTTTTGGCTCAGGAGCACCAGCAGCACAGCAGCAGCAGCAGCAACCGCAGCAGCAGCAGCAGCAGCAGCAGCTGCAGCAGCACGATGAGCAGCAGCAGCAGCTGCAGCAGCACGATGAGCATCACTGCCCAGGTTAGTGGACTTATTCCCCCTCCTTTTCTGTCGCTTCAAGTTCTTAAAGCCCTTTTTGGTGCAGGGCCCCTGCAAGGGCCCCCTGTGCCCCAGAAGGGGCCCCCAAGAGCGCGGGCTCAGCCAGCACGGGGGCCCCTAGGGCCTAGGGTTTAGGGTTTAGGGTCTAGGGTTTAGGGTTTGGGGCTGCTTGTGCTGCTGCAGCTGCTGGGCTCCCACCGCCTTTCGGTGGCTCCCTCTCTCCACATATTTTATGAGGGCTCTCGGCTTCTCATTAATGCGGGGGAAAATGTCCAGAGGTGAGAGTCCCCGGGCCAGCTAGCTAGCTAGCTAGCTAGCTAGCTAGCTAGTAAGCCAGTCAGCTAGCTAGCTAGCTAGCTAGCGAGCTGGCTGAAGGGCTGGCTAGCTAGCTGAGTGGCTGGCTGCCCAGGTACTGGCTAGCTGCCTGTTACCCTGCAAGCCAGTCATTGGGCCAGTTCATTGTTTAGCTAGCTAGCTAGCCAACTAGCCAGTACATTCGCTAGCTAGCTAGATAGCTAGCTAGACAGCTAGCTAGCTGGTCAACCCTTGAATCTGCCAGAGTCGCAGAGCTAGCTGTCGACCCGCCGCCTGGCTAGCCGGCTAGCCAGGTGGCCGTTTTGCTGACTAGCCATTTAGTTAGTCAGTTATATACCTATCTGTCTAGCTAGCTACATAGCGATCTAGGTAGCTAGCTAGCTAGCTAGCTAGCCGACTAGATAGCTAGCTGGCTAGCTGCGCTGAGCTAGCAGCTGTCTCCGTAGGATGCCAAGCAACCAACAGCCCAGTTAGCTTGGCTAGCTGGCTGCACAGGGAGGCAGCTAGCTGGAGAAGGAGCAGGCCAGCTAGCCACAGGCCAAGCCAAATGCCCAGCTAGCTAGCCAGCTAGCTAGCTAGCGAGCTAGCTAGGTGGCCAGCCAGATAGCTAGCTAGCTAGGTGGCTAGCCAGATAGCTAGCTAGCTAGCTAGGTGGCTAGCCAGCTAACTAGCTAGCTAGTATCGTACCCAGCAAGCAGGCTGCTTTCGGTGGCCTGGCGCCCGCTAACAAGCTGCCCGTTCACCCGCTGCCTCTGCTGCTGCTGCTGCTGCTGCTGCTGCGCAGGTACCACTTGGAGAAGAAGCTGCACATTCACCGGATAAGTGACGTTTTCTTGACTTCGCTTTCTCCTGCTGCTGCTGCTGGGCTAATTGGCCTTCTCTTATCTCTCGAAGGCACAGGCAGCGCAGCAGTGACCCTGTGGGGCCCCCACGGGCTTAGGCCTTTGCTGCAGCTAGCCATGAGGACCTTCGCAGGCCTGTGAGCTAGCCGTAGCTAGCTGCCCAGCTAGCTGCACAGCTAGCTGCACAGCTACCTGCCTAGCTGGCCTGCTAGCTAGCTGCCGAGCTGGCCTACTAGCTAGCTGCCCAGCCCGGCTAGCTGCCTAGATAGCTGCGGAGCTAGCTGGATAGCTAGCTGGCTAGTTAGCTGGCTAGACAGCTGCCTAGCTAGCCGCCTAACTGGCTAGAGAGATAGCGATCTAGCCAGCTCGCTAGCTAGCTGACTGGCTAGCTAGCTGCTAGCTAGCTATCCCAGAGGCCAGCTTGCTAGCTGCACTGTTGACGAGAAAAAGAGGCTTCCCCCCGGCCTCCGTTTGGTCTCCGTGAGCCAACGAAGATTAGTTCGCAGCAGAAGCAGCAGCGGCAGCAGCAGCAACAGCAGCAGCTTTGTGGTGCTTTGCTGCAGCAACCATTTGGAGATTAACTACAGACTCATGGGGCCCCCCGAGGCCCCCCCGTCTCTTCTGGGCGAGCGCTACTGTACAGACGGAGTCTGCAGGGGTGGCTGCCGCCGGCGTGGCAGCGCAGGCAGCAGCAGCAGCAGCAGCAGCAGCAGCAAGGGGCCTCGCACTTGTGCGTGCTCCTACGGGCCCTCGGTGAAGGGCACAGCCAGCGGCATCCCTGTGGAGGCCTTCTACCTGCCCCACAGCGGCAGGCAGCAGCAGCAGCAGCTCGAAGATAACCCTCTCTTGAGCAGCAGCAGCAGCAGCACTAGCACCACCAGCAGCAACAGCAGCGGCAATTACAACTACGGTGACACATCTGAGCCAACAACAGCAACAGCAGCAGCAGCAGCAGCTTCCAGCCCTACTGCTGCAGAAGAAAATGGCAGCCTAAAAAGGCGAAAACTTGAAGAGGAGGTGAGGAGCTGCTGCAGTCGCCACTGCTGCAGTTGCTGCTACTGCTGCTGCACTTTTGCTGCTGCCTGTGCCACAGCAAACGCAGTTGCTGCTGCTGCCTTGCTGTCTGTCAGTTGCAGGGCAAGTTTGACCAGAAGTGCCCAGCAGCGGCAGCAACAGCAGCAGCAGCAGCAGCAACAAGCCGCAGCAGCAGCAGCAGCGTGGAAGCAGCAAAGGCTGCTCTTTTTGGGGACTACGGCGACTCCTCCGACTGTCTGCTGCTGCTGCTGCAGTGCCCCACAGTGAGGGGTCGCTTCTTTCCTGATAAGGCAAAAGCTCTAGGAGTGAGACCCCTGTCTTTTATTTGTTTTTTATTTCTATTATTTATTTCT